CCTCACACCTCCTGAATCCCAGTTTCAGCAGAGTCTTTGTCCCGTTTTAGCCCTTTCCCTTCCTACTATTCTGGCTTTTGTCCTGCATTTGAATCAGCGTCTTCCATGCTGCATGGATGCCAGTAGGGTGACCAGTGAGAGCACAGGAAGGGCAGGCTCCTTGCTCTCCGTTCCGGTGGCTGGCTCCATTCTGGCTCAGAGTAGCTATTATAGGGAAAGTGTGACTACTCCCCTGTAGTCCTGGGCAGGAGCATGATCAGTTGCTCTGTGGGAATTGTGCAAGCACGATCTGATCAGCAGTAGGTTGGAACATGTTCAGTCACAGTCTGGTCAGTGCTCGGAGCTCTGAGAGGCACTGAGCATGCTTAGTGAACATGTAATCTTTGATTTTTAGCAGCTAAAAATCTCAGATGTCTGTACTGAGCATGTGCAAACTGAGATTCTCAAAGGCTCATAATTTAGCATGGATTTTCACAGGGATGGCAAAAGGCACACTACTAGTACAAAGGCCCCTTCCCTGCCAAATGTGAAGTCCCTGCCCCCGAAGCATAGGGAAGCAAGAGCTTTTCAAAGAAGAGGGGCCAGAATTTTTAACATGAGTACTAACAACATATTTTCCCCAAACTTCTTTCTTGGAAACAGCTGAACAGTTTTGACTAAAATTTTCCAAAAATATTCACCCTGAGGAAACAGGGAGTCTGGTGGCACTTTAAAGACTAACAGATTTATTTGGGCATAAGCTTTCGTGGGTAAAAAATGCACTTCTTCAGATGCACCCTGAGGCAGACAATCAAAGTGAATAATTTCATCCCAATGAGTTCAAGTTTGGCAAAGTTTTATAAGCAACTGAAAAAAACAAGATCTCATTATTGAGAAGTATCAGGCAACATCAATAGTAGCTGGTGCTGTCAGCTGTGACTATAATGCTACTCTGTAAACTTTACAATTTGCATATACTGAATTTTTTTAATTATAAATTTTAAATTATTTAAACATTTTGTTGTGCTTATATAATGTATTGAAATGCATAGTCTCTTTGGCTGCTCAGTTTCTCTTCCTCCTTAATGGCTGCTTGGCTCACTGACATTGTTTGTACTGCCAAAAATGTGCACTCAATCAGTAAACTGAAGTCTGAGCTTTTTTTTTAATCTGTTAATGTTCACTAAATCAGTTCTGATGAAAGTTCAGATTTAATACATCGAAAGGATTTTTAGGGTCTTATTTTTAGGCATTTGTTTGATTGTATAGTTTTTTGATTTGTACGTGTGTCCAGAGAATCTTCTTTTTAAAGACATTTTGTTTCTCTTATACAAGGGCTTAGTAATGTCATATGAAGAGAAACTAAGCAGCCCAAAACTGTTCATTTGCACTTGTATTCTTCACAGTCCAATAGTCAGAACAGCCAACCAACTTGATTATGTTGGGACTTTCTTAAGTCCAAAAAATGATCTCTTAGGAAGAATGCACAAAAGTATTTTCTAACTTCTAAATACATTTTAAATGTGTAGTACGAAGAAATGGAACTGCTAGGCAGAAATTTTATTATTTTACCACTCAGAACCTTTGCTTCTAATCTAGACACTATGCAGCATTAGATTTGCTCTATCCACCACTGGATATAGTAGTGCAAATAGCAAAATTTGTCTTGCTCACTCAGGTTTAATTGCAGCATGCAATTAGTCAGTACTAAATATAAGTAATATCCTCCCTCTTAGAATAAGGACTGCTTTATACGACCACTCTATTTTGATGATTGCTATATGTTATATAATAAGATTTACAGTGAATGTGTTCAACAAAATGAGAAAAGTTAGTGCCATATAGGCTTTACCTGAACAGTTCATGTGTGAATTTCCAAGAAGGAACAAATGTCGACTATACACCTATGAAAGAATATTACACACAGATTTGTAATCATCAAAATTACTGTAATTTGAAGGTATTGTCTTTTCATTATGTATGGTTTTAACAAATCTATTCTCTAACAGCAGCTACAGGGATTGAAAAATTCTGGAGAGGCAGATTTAGCCAGTGGTTAAGTCTGAAATAGGTTGTTTTCTAGGCAGATGGAGTATTGGGATTCAGTAATGTCCCACTGTCTATTAAAACTGAGGATGTACAAAATACCCAATTTGAATTTGATCCATATATCTTCAGAGAGATGTGAATCCAGTATATGAAGATATTCAGATCAACTCAATAAGTGTCCCACTTCCTCCACAAAAATGATGTAAATATACATAAATGAAAAATAGAATGAATAACTATTAAACACTAACAGAATTTTAGAAAAAATATTTCTAAATATTGCAAAAATTAAAATTCCAAAAGGAGCTGCTGTGATCGTGTGATCACTACTAGATGCTCTGTTGAGCAGGGTCTCATCTGAGATATCTTAAATTCACAGCCAATCAGGTTTTCTTTTCTCTCCCAAATAACTTGAATGAGTCATCTTGGTGGCGGGTGAGTCGCCGTATGAGTTTTGTCCTCTTTCCCCCAAGACAAGTCCTCCCTATCCCACCAGTATCATGGAATTGAAGGGGTTCATGCACCAATATTTTGACATTACTAATCAAATGAATGTGTGAAGCAAGAGTGACAGTGTAAATGTGAATCTTTTACAGTGCTCTGGTTTTTGCCTTGATGTGGAGAGGAGTCACCTTTCCATAAGATGTGTTCTGTCACTTGCTTTGAGGAGGTGAAATATCTCTATCCTATTTCAGCTCACATACTATATTTGAAAAAGCCTCTTACTAATGGAGAAGGAAGGACTATATATTTTCCCTTCCCATTCCTCAGCTCCCACCATCAAACTTCACTACAACCTAGCTGTCTTGGTAGCTTGAGCAGAGGTGCCTTCTTCAAAGGAAAGAAGTGACTGGTAATTCCATAAAACTTCAAAGGTGGAACTTGAATAGCTGCCATCTTTGGATTTTTGACATAACAGAAAAACCACCATCCACTATAATGTCCTTATAAAGCGCACATGCACAGAGACAATACAGTAACTCCTCGCTTATCATTGTAGTTATGTTCCTGAAAAATGCTACTTTAAGTGAAACGATGTTAGGCGAATCCAATTTCCCCATAAGAATTAATGTAAATAGGGGGGTTAGGTTCCAGGGACCTTTTTTCGCCAGACAAAAGACTATATTTTATAAATATACACACACATTATGCACAGTATAAGTTTAAAACAAACGTTTTAATACTGTACACAGCAATGATGATTGTGAAGCTTGGTTGAGGTGCTGAAGTCAGAGGGTGGGATATTTCCTAGGGAATGCCTTTCTGCTAAATGATGAAGTAGCATTCGGCTGAGCCCTCAAGGGTTAACGCGTTGTTAATTTAGCCTTTCACTCTACAAGCAGCACGAATGGAGGTAGGGGAGACAGCATGGCAGAGAGAGACAGAGATACACACCGTGTGTGTGTGTGTGTGAGAGAGAAAGAGAGATGTGCATTGCCCCTTTAAATACACTGACCCCACTCTAAGTACATTGCATTTGTAAGTAGATCAGCAAGTTGAGACAGCAACTGCTGCCAGCAAGCTCCCTCTGTCCTGAGCCCTGTTGTGTCCCCCGCCATGCTCTGTGGAGATGAGGTAAAGGAGCAGGGGGGAGGGGGACACCCTGACATTAGCACCCCTCTTCCCTGCCCTGCCCTTGCACAGCAAGCAGGAGGCTCCTGGGAACAGCTCCAAGGTAGAGGTCAGAAGCAGCACACGGCAGTGGAGGGAGGGAAAGCTCAACGGCCCAGCAACTGATAGCTTGCTGGGCTGGGTGGGCTGCTGTTGTACAGGGAACTTAGGGGAGCGGGGAGCTGATAGGGGGGCTGCCAGTCCACCCTGGTTCCAAGCCCCCACCAGCTAGCTCCAACGGGCTGCTCTTTCTGCAAGCAGTGGACAAAGCAGGTGGCTGCCAAACAGCATTATAAGGGAGCACTCTGCAACTTTAAATGATCATGTTCCCTAATTGATCAGCAACGTAACAATGTTAACCGGGATGACTTTAAGTGAGGAGTTACTGTATATCAGAGTGTCACATTACCAAAGAAGTGAGAAGCCAGGTATCAAGAAATCAGGGTCCTGTCACGTCTTTGCATGTTGATGGCTTACTCTGCTGTGCTTTGGCATCTATTTTATATTGCTAACAGTACGTGTTGGGATCAGAGCTGTTATTAGCTGGCATGCAATTTTGATGCCACCGTGTACCTGAGAATCATAACTTGATGACTTGAGGAAGTTCTTATTAGGCATCCATTGGAGTGAAAATGTGAAATTTCTACATTCCTAGTTTTAAATGTCTCTTTGCATATTTACTTCTATGGTCTGTGTGCATACTCTGAATGATGGAAATGCTGCTAATCTACTTTTCTCACTGTTCTATTTTTTTCTTGGAGTAAACAGGAAAATATAAGCTCTAAAGGGGTGAGTGTGCAGGTGGGATTTATTTGGAAATGCTAATGCAATTTCAGTTTTTTTCAACAATTAGGTATTTGCCCCAGTTATACTGTATCTTGTCACTCTTCTCCCACTCATCCACAGTATGGTCCCTTAGGAGCTTGTCAACTGGCTTCTCTCACTCACACATGGAATCCTCTGGTCTGGATTTTATTGTTTGGTTAACCACACCCACAAAGGCTGTAGAAGCTGCTGAAGTTTTGTTTGGTGCCCAAACTGTTCTTCCTATTTTGAGTTCTGGAACTGATCTGTTTGTTTCTGTGCCATAGCAAACAGCTTCTTTTGCACTTGGGGGCTTCCTTCTTCTCTTTCTCTTGCCACCTTGCAGTAAAAATCTGGGCCCAGACTGTCAGCAGGTTCAGTGATGCAACCAAAATCTGCACCCTGGGTTGTAAAAGGGTAGTGGTCACCTCATCAAACTGTTTTTTTAGCATAAATACATTAGGATGCGATTCACCTGGACAGCATTGTAAAAAGAGTTTAATATTATTGCAGATACGATGCCTTTTTTGTTTTATATTATTTTGACATTCTTACAGAGCCAACTGTGCGAGCAGAACTGATGGAACAGGTCCCTCATATCGCTGTGTTTTGTCAAGAAAACAGGCCCTCAATACCATATGCTTTTTCCAAATACTTACTGCCTATTGTGGTGAGATACCTCGCAGACCAGAATAACCAGGTAAGTCATTTATAAACAGAGTGTTATGTTCTAAAATTGAATGGATAACACACTTTCTCAAATAGGATAATGCAAACATTTTACACTAAGTAAATAAGGTTTAGAGCAACAAGAAGTAAATTGAAGTCTGAACTTATGCAAAAAATGCGTTTGACATTTTTATAATAGGATCTGAGCTGGTCTTAGGCATCTGCGGCTTCCCTTATGTAGTGCTAAAGCACCACTACCAAAACAAAACGCTATCCTTTTATATAGGCTTACATATTATAAATTCCTTGGAAGAAAGAGAACACATTTTTAGTTTTAATTCATAGAATTTAAGACCAGAAGGAACCATTATGGTCATCTTTTATTTCCCACATAACAGACTGTAGAACCTCACCCAGTTATTTCTGTCTTAACCCCATAGCTTTTGTTTGAGTTTTAGCATAAGTTTTAGAAAGGTGTCTGGTCTAGATGTAAAGACTTCAAAGGATGAAGCATCCACCGTGTTCTTAAATAAGTTCTTCCAGTGGTTAATTACCCTCAGTGTTAAATGTGGGCCTTTTTTCCAGTCTGAATTTATCTAGCGTCATCTTCCCATCATTGAACTTCATTATGCCCTTTTCTGTTAGATTAAAGAGCTGAATCTCTTCTCTATGTAGGCTCTTGAACACTGTGATCAAACCAGCTCTTCACCTTCTTTCAAGAAGCTCAATCTAGTTTCTTATAGTCTGTCACTGTAAGGCATGTTATCCAGACCTCAAATCATTCTTGTAGATCTTTTTTGAGCCCTTTCCCATTTTTCAACATACTTTTTGACGTGTAAATACTAGAACTAGACACAATATTCTGGTTATAGTCTAACTAATGCCATATAGCCATATACAGAGGTAATATCACATCCCTATTACTTGATATTCATCTTCAATTGTTTTGTCATGTCCATTCCAATAGGTGTCTGCATGCGCTGCGTGCACAACCGTCTGAAGGTTTTCCCCCTAGCGGTAGCCGTCAGGTCGGCTGTGGAGCCCCCTTGAATGGCACCTTCATGGCGGTGTATATAGGATACTGCCGACACGCCGCCTAAGTTCCTTCTTACCGCCAGTGACCGTCGTTGGAGCTTCCTTCAGTCTCTTGCTTCGCAAGTGCCTACCTAGTAGTTACAGTCTAGTTAGTTGTAAATAGTTCTTGAAAGTTGTAGTTAGCCTCTTTCGGGAGGTTTCCCCCCACCTCTCTAGCTTCCCTGACCAGGGTATGCCTCGGTCTGAGGGGTTTAAGTCCAGCGAACACTGAGGAAAGCCTATGCCCAAGGGCGAACCGCACATGTTGTGCCTTAAATGTTGGGGTGAGGGCCATCAAACAGATAAGTGCTCCATTTGCAGGAGCTTTAGATCTAGGACAAAGAGGGAGCGGGACTATTGGCTCAAGCTCCTTTTAATGGAGGCGGCCCTTCGCTCTGAGCTGGCACCGGTAGCAGCACTGGCAACATCAGTGCGGGATGCCTTGGCACCGAAAAAAGACTACTCCAGGGAACATCGACACGGCTCCCCGGCTCACAAAGCAGGTTCGAGCATGTGGCACCACTCTCAGTCCCCGGTGCCGCATAAGAAGAAAAAGGCAGACGGGGTCGGTCCCCTGTCAGGAAACAGCACAGAAATCCCAGCAGGGTGTGTCCTATGTCAGGGCACCTATGGCCTGGCCCTCAGATCCCGGCACCTGCCAGAGGCTCCATCAAGTCTCGTGTTTGTGGACTCTCAGGGTCGGGAGGAATTGGAGGACGAGATTGATCTCCCCACCACACTGGATACTTTTGAGACCACACAGGACCTTATTGCCATGATGACACAGTCCCTGGCCCTGCAGGCACGAGCACCAGTGACGGCACAGTTTGTGGTACTGACAGGGCAAGCCAAAGATGCTCCTACGGCGCTCCCCATCACCGCGGTGCCGCTCCCAGGCACTGTCGGGCTCCGCTTCTCCATCGTCTGGTTCAGGCTATTTGTCAGACTCCGATAATGAGTTGTCGATCTCCCGACATAGTCTGTACTGGCCTCCACAATGGCAGGGGCTGGTACAATAGCCCTTTTGGACTCCTTGGGCCTACCATCAGGCTCAATGGCAGGGCTCCAGGGCCACGTCTCTGGTGTCCGTGCCCTGTGCTCCTCCTTCAGCCATGTTGGTACCATGCCATACTCCCACAGCACCTGAAGACCCCCCCACATGATGAGGACCCTGTGTCTTCGCAAGCAGGTGCAACTCTCGGGCCAGCACCCTATGTGGTACCAGCGCCGCAGTCTACCCCAAATAGGGCAGACATACCTGAGCCAGCCTCCAGGGAGCCTGAGGGTCAGGAAACCAGGTCCCCCGGGCCTCATCATCCTCATCATGCTCCCTGTGATGGACAATAGGGTGCACCAGGACCTTCTTAAGAGGGTGGCCCAAAACTTCACCTCCAGGCTGAGGAGGTTCTAGAAGACTCAGACCCAATGGTGGACATTCTTGCCCCAGTGGGTCCTTCTAAGGTAACCTTGCCCCTTATAAAGACCATACAAAACACCACCAAGGTGCTATGCCAGACCCTGGCCTCCATACCTCCCATGGCCAAAGGGGTGGAAAGGAGGTATTTTGTGCCGCAGAAGGGGTACGGACACCTTTTTACCCACTCTCAGTCTGGAACATTAGTAGTAGATGCGGCGAACCACAAAGAGCAGCAAGGTCAACCGGGTCCTGCCCCAAAGTCACGGGACGCTAAGAAGCTGGACTTTTTCGGCCGTAAAGTCGACTCGACTGGGGGTCTCCAGCTTTGCGTTGCTAATCAGCAAGCGGTGCTCAGCCACTACGCCTTCAATTCCTGGAGAGTGCTAGCTAAGTTCCAGCAATTGCTCCTGTTAGACTCACGCACAGAGTTCGTGGCCCTTCTTGAGGAGGGCAAGGTGGTGTCAAGGACCTCCCTGCAGGCTGCCTGAGATTCAGCTGACTCTGTGGCTCGGACCGTGGCCATAGCAGCACCATGAGACAGAGTGCCTCGTTACAGGTTTCGGGTATACCCCGGAGGTCCAGAACACCATTCAGGACCTGCCCTTTGACCATGTGGGCTTGTTTGCTGAGAACACGGACTCCCACTTGCACAATCTGAAAGACTCGAGTGCGACATTCAAGTCCCTGGGGATCCACACTCCCGCATCCCAGAGGAAGCCCTTCACACCCCAGCCCCCCTGCCCCTTCTACACTGGACCCCCGAGGCAGGACTCAGCCAGAAGAAGGGGCAGGAATAATAGGAGGTGCCAGTCACAGGCACCAAGGCCAGGGCTCATCCAAACAGCCCCCGGGGCCGAAACCTAACTTTTGAAGGTGTGCCTGAGGATGGAGCACCAAGACTCAATCTGAATCCTTACCCTCCCTTTGTGAACCAGCTATCCCACTTCTACCATGCTTGGTCCCAGATCACAACAGATCGCTGGGTTCTGAGCACGGTAGGGGTGGGATATTCTATCCAGTTCTGTTCCCTCCCGCCTTCCTGCCCACCCTCCCTGTCCTCCTTCAGAGATCCATCTCACGAGCAACTCCTTCTCCAGGAAATGTGATTGCTCTTCGCTCTGGGGGTGATACAGGAGGTTCCTCAGGAGTTCAAGGCCAAGGGATTTTACTCCTGATATTCCGTTATCCCCAAAACCAAGGGTGGAATGCGACCTATTCTGGATCTGCGAGACCTCAATGCATTCATCAAGAAAGCCAGGTTTCACACAGTCTCCCTAGCCTCTATCATTCCTTCCCTGGATCTGGGGGACTGGTATGCCATCCTCGACATGCAGGACACTTACTTCCATATCTCCGTTATCCCGACCCACAGACGGTTTCTTCGCTTTGTGGCCAGCAGCCAGAACTACCAGCGCTGCTTGGGCTCTTGACTGCTCCAGGGTGTTCATGAAGTGCATGGCAGTCATGGCAGCCTTCCTCCACAAACGTCAGGTGCAAGTATTCCTGTATCTGGATGTCTGGCTCATCAAGGCCAAGTTGCAAGCACAAGCGGAGGTGCATGTGGCCCTGGCCTGCGCCATGTTCCTCAGGGTAGGCCTCATACTAAACATGCCCAAATCCACGCTGGTCCCTACACAGAGAATAGCGTTCGTAGGGGCTCTCTTGGACTCTGCGCAAGCCAGGGCATCCCTTCCCGAGCCGCGCTTCCAAGCCCTCAGGGACATCATTGAGAACCTCCACCAGTTCCCCACAACAATGGCTAGAAACTGTATGAAGCTGCTGGGGCCTATGGCAGTGTGCACATATGTGGTCCGGCATGCCGGACCACATTTCAGATCCCTCCAGGTATGGTTGATCCAAGAGTACAGGCCCAGCCGAGACTCACTGGACAGCATAGTTATCTTTCCCCCTCCCATTCTCGAATCTGTACGCTGGGTGGTTATGGCCACAAGTGGTCTGTGCGGGAGTTCCCTGGGCCAAACCGCAACCTACCATGTTGCTGGTCACGGACGCCTCTGCTCTGGGGTGGGGGGGTGCACATAGGCAGTATCAGAACTCAAGGCCTATGGTTGTAGGCAGAACTATCACCGTACATCAGTGTGTGGGAGTTGAGGTCGGTCTGTCTGGCATGCCAAGCCGTCCAGAACCACCTTTGAAGCAGATGTGTGTCAGTGCTCACAGACAACACCACGGCGATGTTTTTTTATATAAACAAACAGGGTGGTGCTCGCTCCTCTCCCCTGTGCCAGGAAGCCCTAGAGTTCTGGGAATTTTGCATTGCCAACTTGATACATATACAAGCATCTTACCTCCCAGGGGCGCAGAACGAGCTAGCTGACTCACCCAGCCACTCGTTCCTCAGTCGTGAATGGTCCCTCAGGCTGAACGTCACCCTTTTAGTTTTTCAGAAGTTGGGCTTTCCCCACATGCTCCATGTCACAAACAGGTCTAACAGGAATTGCCAGCAATTCTGCTCCTTTCTGAACCACAGCCCGGGCTCCATCGTGGACGCTTTTCTCCTCATGTGGACGAGTCACATGTTCTATGTGTTCCCACCCTTGCCTCTCATACACAGAGTCCTCCTCAAGGTCTGCCAGGACAGGGCTTCATTGATCCTCATAGCATTGGTGTGGCTCCACCAGCACTGGTTCACCATGCTGTTAAGCCCATTGGTTGACAGACCAGTAGCCCTTCCCTTATGCCCAGACCTCATCACTCAGGGCCCCGGCAAGCTCCAGCACCCCAACCTGAAGTCCCTCCACCTCATGGCGTGAAAACTCCCTGGTTGAACCTGATGGATCTTCAGTGTTTGGACTCAGTGAGACAAGTTCTCCTGGGAACTAGCAAACCTTCCACCCAAGCCACATATCTGGCAAAGTGGAAGCGGTTTTCTATTTGGTCCCTGCAGAAGGGTATCCCACTGCAGCAAGCGCCAATTCCCCTTGTTTTGGACTACTTACTAGACCTGAAGCAACAAGGGCTGGCAATATCATCTACAAAAGTGCACCTGGCTGCCATCTCGGACTTCCACCCAGGGACAGCAGGTACATCAGTCTTCGGAAACCCCATGGTGGGCCAATTCCTCAAGGGCTTGGACAGGGTTTATCCTCATGTGCGGCAGCCCGTTCCCCAGTGGGATCTCAGCTAGTCTTGTCCAGGCTCATGGGCCTTCCATTTGAGCCCATGGCTACCTGCCCCTCTCTCCTACCTCTCTTGGAAGGTTGCCTTTCGGGTGGCTATAACATTGGCCAGAAGGGTCTCTGAGCTCAAAGCGCTTACCTCTGAGCCCCCCATACCGTCTTTTACAAAGACAAGGTCCAGCTGTGTCCTCATCCTGTGTTTCTACCCAAGGTGGTCTCCCGGTTTCATGTGAATCAGGACATATTTTTACCAGTATTCTTCCTCAAGCCTCATGCCACTGGCAGAGAGCAGATACTCCATTCCCTGGAGGTCAGGCGTGCCCATGCCTTCTACATTGAATGCACAAGCCATTTCATAAGTCACCACAGCTCTTTATTGCAATCGCCGAAAGGATGAGAGGGCTTCCCATCTCATCCCAGCGCATTTCGTTGTGGATCACATCCTGCATTAGAATGTGCTACGACCTGGCCAAAGTTCTGCCCCCACCGTTGATGGTGCACTCCAGAAGAACTCAGGCTTCATCCGCAGCTTTCCTCGCACATGTCCCTGTTCAAGACATATGCAAGGCAGCAACATGGTATTCTATCCACACCTTCACGTCACACTACCCCAGGGGTCTCAAACACGTGGCCCGCGGAGTTATTTCCTGCGGCCCACCAAGCTCCCCTGTTTACATTTATTTTTTTAAAATCTGTCAGTTAACCATTTTACACTATTAATATGTACTTCTTGATTTTTGAATAGTGCTACATTTTTCTTATCAGAAGGCCATAAAGGACTAAGTCAAATGCCTTACAGATGTCTAAGTACATTATGTCAATATAGTTATTTTTATCAACCAAACTTGTAATCCTTTCAAAAAATGGAATTTGTTTGACAAATACTTTCCATAAAACTATGTTGGATTGGCATTAATGATGCTCTCCTTCTTTAATTGTTTACTGATAGTGTCCCATACTAGCCTTCCCATGATTGTGCCTATTTCGCATCGCCATTTTGACTTTCAGGAAACTCTCTTGCAGTATCTGTAGTATTACAATATTACAGTATATAAGTGTTCCTGGACATGACTTTTTATTTTTTAATGTTATAGTTTGTAGAAGGATTTAAGAACATGTGCCCTCAACCTTGACAGGGGCTATGAGGGCGTGTCTATATATCTCCCAGTGTATATCTAAAAACTGTCTCCTGTAAACTCTTGTTTCCACTTTGTTTTTCCTACGATAGGTGAGAAAAACAAGTCAGGCAGCATTACTAGTTCTGTTGGAACAAGAACTTATTGAGAGATATGATGTAGAGACCAAAGTATGCCCTGTTCTTATAGAACTGACTGCGCCAGACAGTAATGATGATGTGAAGACAGAGGCTGTGGCTGTGAGTAAATCAGTGAAACTGAGCTTTAAGGTCTAAGGTTTGAGTGAACATTTGGTGTTGTAACATACACTCATTCCTATATATTTGCTTTCTACAACTAACTCTATGTATAACTTTTCATGAGTGATGTACCTGAGTATTTAGATTCTCATATCTAAACTGTATCGTTAAATTTATTCACTTAAATTTGGGTTATTTCAGATTATGTACTATATGTATTTTATTACTTTTAAACCAAATTTTGTACTTTTGGATAATCTAAGCACTATACCAAGATGTACAGATACGCTTTTTCCTTAACCTGTGTATTATATAATTTTTAACATTAGCTTTAATAAAGGTACTTGGGTATTTCTAAGGCACTTACCATTGTGGTGCCTCAGAGAGAAATGGCTGTCAGTAAATTAATTCTTAGCATTCTTTGCACTGTATTGCACCTAATCAGGGTCATGTTTGAAATAAATTACTTGTACATTCCATAAAAGAAGAGAGACCCAACTGGACAAGAAACTCAGGAGATTAATTGTATTACCTGATAAAGTGTTTTCTGTTTTGGGAGCCTCCTTTTATGGCCATTGGCAGTTGATTGTTTCTGTACTGTGTTCCTTTCTTTAGTAGAGAATTCTTGGTACATGAATTGTGTTGACCTTTACTTTGTGGGCTTGTTCTCCCTTTTATCACCACCAGCATCTCTGAATATAATGCTCATTCAGACAGGCTTGAATTAATTTTATCAGATGGAATTTAGAATAATGAATGGACTAAGTTCAGCAACTCAGTGGTTTAAACTGGTACAAATTTATTAAACAGTCCTCATAGATTATACATGTTTTTGAAGAATAAAAATTAATCATTTAACTAAACCATTTAATGAGTTAATTTATAATAGTATAATGACAAATGTCGTGAAAATCCTCACCTTCTGCCAAATGCATTGTAAACCACTCTATTCGTTCTAGATTTTCATTTTACACTATAAGACCATAAATCGGCCATACTGGGTCAGACCAAAGGTCCACCTAGCCCAGTATCCCATCTTCCGACAGTGGCCCAAGTGCCCCAGAGGATATGAACAGAACAGGTAATCATCAAGTGATCCATCCCCTGTCGCCCATTCCCAGCTTCTGGCAAACAGAGGCTAGGGACACCATCCCTGCCCATCCTGGCTATTAGCCATTAATGGAGTTATCCTCCATGAACTTATCCAGTTCTTTTTTTGAGCCCTGTTATAGTCTTGGCCTTCACAAAATCCTCTGGTAAAGAGTTCCACAGACTGACTGTGCGTTGTGTGAAAAAATACTTCCTTTTATTTGTTTTAAACCTGCTGTCTATTAATTTAATTTGGTGACCCCCTACTTCTTATGTTATGAGAAGGAGTAAATAACACTTATTTACTTTCTCCACACCAGTCATGATTTTATAGACTTCAGTCATATCCCCCCCAGTCGTCTCTTTTCCAAACTGAAAAGTCCCTGTCTTATTAATCTCTCCTCATATGGCAGCTGTTCCATACCTCTTATTTTTTTTTTTGTCCTTTTCTGAATCTTTTCCAAGTCCAACATATTTTTTTGAGATGTGGCAACCACATCTGCATGCAGTATTCAAGATGTGGGCATACCATGGATTTATATAGGGGCAATATGATATTTTCTGTCTTATTATCTATTCCTTTCTTAGTGATGCCCAACATTCTGTTCACTTTTTTTGACTGCCGCTGCACATTGGGTGGATGTTTTCAGAGAACTATCTACAATGACTCCAAGATCTCTTTCTTGAGTGGTAACAGCTGATTTAGACCCCATTATTTTATTTGTGTAGTTGGGATTGTTTTCCAATGTGCATTACTTTGCATTTATCAACACTGAATTTCATCTGCCATTTTGTGGCCCAGTCACCCAGTTTTGAGAGATCCTCTTGTAGCTCTTCATAGTCTGCCTGGGACTATGTAAATCACTTTGAAACAAAAACACTTAATATTTATTAAATATTATTATTTATTTTATTTAAAATTGTGGCTTGTGCCAAAAGACAACAACCACGTTGGATCCTAATGTATTAGGCACCATACAAATATACAATAAATGACAGTACCTTCCTCAAAGAGTCTAAAAGTAAACATACGTGAGGTGGAATAAAATTTACAACTGAGTTGCTTCACACTGTCCATTTTCATTGTTATGAAGGTATGGAAGCTTTGATGATGCTTGAGATGAGTTTCTTTAGATTAACAAAGTATACTTGAAAATTATCGGAAGTTGATTTTGAAGGATAGTTTATTTCATCAAAAGTGATCTCACGGCTTATCACAGTGTTATGTTCAGTTACCTCCATTTTTTTCTTAACAAAACCTTGGTAAAAATTAGAATGAAAAACAATTAGAAGGAGAAATTGTCACTTTTTTTGGCCTAATTGCTCCATGACCCAGTTTTTTCAGTAACTTACACATAGGGCATCACAAATGAGCAATAAAGAGAATTTTAGAAATCTCTGTAAATATGGAATATTTTGAGGGTTGTGGGAATCATTTTATTATACTAAACTTTATATTAAAGAACAAGAAATCAAGCACGTTTGGTTTAAAATGTCAGAAAATTGCTTTTAAGTGTTGAAGTGCTTTAATAAGTGGAGGTGAGAAATGAAGTCCCTCATTTGACTGTTTTAAGACTAATCCATTTGCTATTTCTGTACTGTTCAATACACAGTATTGTGAGATAGCTGCATTAATATTAAGAGTTCATTCCTACCAACTTTCCAGAATGCCTTGTAGTCACTTGTTTCCATAACTTAACTTCTGATTTTGTTGCTTTATATTGGGAAGAACAGTTTCTCGCATACCCTATTGCAGTTTGACACAGGGAAAGAAAATAATCAACTGAGCTGCCTACATAATGCACACACTTTTCAAAATGAGATTTACAAGTATCAGAAAAATTCAGGATCATGTGCATCAGGATTTAGCTTGACTGTAGTTACAACTTTAATAATACAAAAAGGTCATTATTTAATGCTTGTGAAACTAGTTTATCTGTTGTATAGGCATTCCTAATCTGTGTTTTTCCTTCTCATTAGATAATGTGCAAAATGGCCTCCATGGTGGGGAAAGACATCACAGAGAGACTCATTCTTCCTAGGTTTTGTGAGATGTGCTGTGATTGCAGAATGTTTCATGTTCGTAAGGTATGAATTTTTCCCTGTCTGGTTTGGTTCTGCTGTTTACTTTAGATTTAAAGGCACATAGTCAACCTAAAAACCACATTTGTCTGAAATTATTTTTATCTTCTGTTGTTACCTGAAATACCGAAGATAACTATAAATGAAAGATACAGGACCCCACATATTCTGTGATTGAGCAGCTGTGGAAATTGCTGCAGAACTGTATTCTAGAATCTTGGCTTTTATTTAAAAATGAAACTTTGCTTCTAGCCCTTATGGGTGTGGAGATAACCTTGAAAACATGAATCAAGTGTAAACTGATGCAGTTTCGCTTGCCTGATCCACAGCTCTCTGGGAAGGAAGGAAGGGTGTATCAAGGCAGAGCTGGCACTGGGCATAAGCAGACCAAGCAATTGCTTAGGGCCCTGAGCAGCTCAAAGGGCCCCCTAGTCACTTTTTTATTATAAGAACTTGCTTGTTTTAGGGGTGTGTGTGTGTGCGCGCGCACGGGAAATATTGCTGCTTAGGGCCCCTGTTGGGCTAGCACTGGCTTAATATCAGGGTATTAAAATAAATTAATGCTTCCATGGAATTCAGACATTGCAGCTATGTAATTTGGTTCCATTTTGTACCAAAGAGTACCTGATACTACAGAAGAAGATATTTTTCTCTAATTTTTTTTTTTTTTTTTTTTAGTTTTACTGTGTGTATTTGATAACATTTTGTGTATAAGTTTCACTTTCTCCTTTGTATCTAGTTAGTGTCCCACATTCTTTGTAGGGTTCTTTCATATGGAAGAAGGGGAGATAAAACATTTTTTTAAAAAATAATAAATTGTGATTTTTAAAATCACACAAATTGGCAGGTGTAAGGTGTAGTACCTGAAACTACTAGTAATCGTTTTTTGAAACTGACTTGATTTCAGGTTGACTTTATCATGGGGAGTATATTAAAATTGTGGTTGTGCTGGCTGTTACAATACCTTTGCAGATGATGAAACATTGCAATGATCATAAATCAGTTATTTTTAATGAATGTAATTTACTTATCTCTAATTTTTGTCTGCAGGTATGTGCAGCCAATTTTGGAGATATCTGCAGTGTGGTTGGGCAGCAAGCCACTGAAGAAATGCTTGTAAGTCTTTTGTACAGAAGTCAGGTTGTTGAGGTATGGCTGTAGGTGTACATATATTCTCCTCACCCTCTCAACACCTGGCTTACAAATAAACTACCTAAGAGAACTCAAAAGTGGGGAAATGACTAAGTTAAGTTTGCCCGTGCACCTGAACTCTGTCCTTTTAAAGAGTGTATTGCAATACATTTACACCATTACATAACATTATTTATGCAGAACCGTTGCCTCTTTCATCACTCATTTTCTGAACATTTTGTATTTAAATGACTTTCATCAGTTCCGTCTGAAGTACATGGTCCTACAGAATTTTTTTTTTTCACCCCTGCAACCTCGGATACATGTGTAAGATATGGAGTTGTTTGAAAAATAATATGTGATCATGAAATGATCAAATGCTGTTAGGCCTGTGCATATGGGTGTAGAGTTGAGGTTGCCTGCATATCCTCAGCTTGGGCTTTTCCTGAATTTTGAGTGCTAGCACAGCTTGCATGTACATTTAATATAGTTTTTAGTAAGGTTTTTTAAAAAAAAATAAATAAAAATGGAGAGAGAAGGTGGTGGGACAAGAAAGGAACTTACGCTGCAGGACTGAGAGCTCTTCTAGCTTTTAAAAAATTGGCAATAGAGTCATAGAAATGTAGGGTTGGAAGGGACCTCGAGAAGTCATCAAGTCCAACCCCCTGCACCGAGTCAGAACCAAGTAAATTGAAACCATTCCTGACAGGTGTTGGTCCAACCAGTTCTTAAAAACCTCCATTGATGGGGATTCCACAACCACCCCTTGGAAGCTTATTCCAGAGCTTAACCATGCTTATAGTTAGAAAGTTTTTCCTAATATCTAACCTAAATCTCCGTTGCTACAGATTAAGCCCATTACTACTTGTCCTACCTTCAGTAGATGTGGAGAACAGTTGATCACGTTCTCTTTATAACAGTCCATAACATATTTAAATAGCATGTGTGCATCTCACAATCTGAAACTAGTAGGGTAGACACCATCGGGTTACCTTGTCTCCTCTAAGAGGCTGATAGGAATGTAGAGTGGGGCTCCATCTTGAGCACTTTTACGAATTGTGAAGGAGCTCTATTTAGCCCCTTGGTAATTTGTGCTATCTGCTTACGTTTTTCATGGTACAATTCAGATTTTGTTCCCAACTATTTCAGCTGCTGAGCTTTAAAAAAGAAAAGTCAGGAATCTCTTTTCATGATGGAAGGAGTGTTTGTTTTCCACTCTTCTGGTACTTCAAAAACAGTTGAATGACTTCTGTTGAAATTTTATTTTTTTACAAACCACTTTTTAGTCAGAAAGTCTGGAAAATTTCAACACAAAAGGAGACTGCTTGAGCAACTGAAAATAGGGTTGTGATGAAAACTGTAGTGCTATCTTGATAGAAGTCACTGCTGGTCTTGCTGCAATACCACAGACAGTGATAATCATGTGATGAACTTTATGCTGTGATTGCCTCATCTGCACCTTGCCCACTAATCCATTTCTGCTGGGATTACTTCAAAAATTCCAAAGATCTAAGAAAGTTCAGTCATCAATTTTTATAAAACCAGTTTCCATAAAACTATTTTGTCTTTGAGTAGTGTCCCTCTGGGTGCTCCACTTCCGGTTGATCAGAGATTTTTCAGGAGCAGTGCCCATTTGGCCCGTGTACACGTTCCGGACAACCTCGTACCCCATACTGAGGGTATGTAGAGCTGTTCAAGTGAACTGCCCACAGTGCCTTCCCAACCACACAAGGGCTTGATTTGGCATGTTTTTTTGTGCCTGTTTCAGCTTTGCTGTAGCTTAGTCTTGAGTTCTTAGTTCTAGGTTTAGTTTAGTTAGTTCCCTTATTTATTTTGTAATCATACCTTTTTAGTTAGTTTGGGGTTTTTCTGTTTAATACCGCCTTTTTCTCCCTTTTCCTTTTGAGGGATTTGCCTTGCGGGGTCATCAGTGACCCGGTATGCCAGGATTCAGGTGTTCCTGTGCCTGCCAGGAATCTATCCCAGTTAGCAAAGGACATTCCTGGTGTAAATGCTGTCTAGGAGACGCATGCCTTCCAGACAAGTGCAAGATCTGCTCAGCTTTTAAAAGCAGATCTCGAAAAAACCACAAGATTAAACTTTGGCTCCTCATGATGGAATTCTCCCGAAAACCTGCCTCAGATCCGGGTTCAGATACCCCACATACATCAGCCTCCAAGTGAGCACAGTGCCCCTTCAACCTCCATGCCCTGCTTGTCTAGGTCTTTGCAAGATAAGAACACAGAGGATACCAGTAAAGCTCCTAAGAAGAGGAGTTCTGGCTCTCCTCACAGAGAGCCTACATTTAAAAAAAAAGCCTCTGTCACTGTCAAGATTGACCATTTTGGAGACTTCATGTCCCATGCTGAGGCGCCAGTCTTCCACAGTATCTGGAGTTCATTGAAGACCTCAAGCTCCTTAAAGACCTTCTGTAGCAAGCATACCTTGGTACCAGAGTCATCTGCCGTAGCGTCCCAAAGAAGCAGTTCCAGCCGCCCCTGCCCCAAGGCCTTGGCAGCCTCATCAGGGGTCTGGAAAGAGACACAAGTTTAAATCATTGCTGCCATTCCTTCTTCTGTGCAGCCCAGTTCAGCAAAGCATCCTGTAGGGCAGAAGTGCTCATTTTGAAGGTGCATGCAAGAGCGATGCCCAAGTCAATTCCCTGGATCCACCTTGTTCCTTCCTCGACCAACTTCATCCCTATCATTCAGCCTGGTCGCGGGTCACCTAGGACTGCTGGGTGCTGGACATAGTATCTCAGGGGCTAGACCCTGCCGTTCCCTCCCATCCCCTCTCTTTCCCATCCCTCTTCTGGGACCCTTTCCACCAGCAACTCCTCGTTTAAGAGATCGAGAATCTCCTGCGCCTGGGGGCGGTGGAGGAGGTCCCTTGAGACATGAAAGGAAAGGGGTTCTATTCCCAGTACTTCCTAATTCCGAAAGCAAAAGGGGGTCTCAGACCCATTCTGGACCTGCATTGCCTCAACACGTCTCTCAGTTTTGAATGATCTCTCTGGCCTCCATCATCCCCTCCCTGGAACTGGGAGACTGGTACACCACCCTCAATTTAAAGGATGCTTATTTCCATATTCCAAGGTCAGACATTCCCTCCGTTTCATAGTGGGCAGACGTCACTTTCAATTCACGGCGCTGCCCTTTGGCCTCTCATTGGCCCCACAGGTGTTCACAAAATGTATGGTGCCAGTGGTTGCTTAGCTGAGATGTCAAGGGGTCCAGGTCTTCCTGTATTTTGACAACTGGCTTATCAAGGGCCGGTCTCGGGAACTTGTGCAGAGGAGCCTCGATCTGATGCTTTCCACCTGCTGCGAAGTGGGTCTGTTAATAATAGGGGCATGGCTCAACTCCACGCAAGCCAGAGCCTTCCTTCCAGCAGCATGTTTTCAGGCCATGTCAGACCTGATCTCCCATATGAAGAACCACCCGCTCACCACGGCTCTCACCTGCGTGCAGTTGTTGGGCTACATGGCTGCATGCACATAAGTGGTCAGTCATGCCAGGCTCCATCTCCGGCTGCGGCAAGAACCCTGGGTAGGTAGTTGAACCCTGGGTTGGTGTTGGAGGAAGGTGCCTTCATGGCTATGGCTCCATCACTGACCCTGGTCTCTGATGCTTCAGACCTGGGATGGGGAACCCACCTGGGCGAGCTCAGTACCCAGGGCTGCTGGTTGTGGGACAGTCTGGTCCTCCATATCAATGTTAGGGAGTTCAATGTGGTTTGCTTGGCTTATCAGGCTTTTTTGCCCCACCTGAAGGGCAAGGTGGTACAGGTCCTGGCAGACAATACGGCTACAGTGTATTACATCAACTGACACAGCGGAGCCGGTTCATTGGCCCTTTGCCAAGAAGCTCTCCGCCTTTGGGACTTTTGTGTGCGGCATGCCATTCATCTGGTAGCCGCTCACCTACCCAGGACCAGGAACATATTAACAGATCGCATCAGCAGTACCATCTCATCTTGCCATGAGTGGTCGCTCCACCCAGAGGCGGTCAGTGTAATCTTCTGGAAGTGGGGGATTCCCTAGGTGGATCTGTTCGCATCCAGGCAGAACAGGAAATGCCACGTATTTTGTTCAATCTGGGGGATGGACAGGGGTTCCCTGTCAGATGCATTTCTCCTCCTGTGGTCGGGGGCTCTGATGTACACCTTCCCACCAGTGCCGTTGATTCACAGAGTCCTAGTGAAGATCAAACAGGATAGGGCAAAGTTTATCCTAATAGCCTCGCCAGTACTGGTTCGGCATGCTATTGGATCTTTCGGTAGCTGCCCCACTGCAGCTACCCCTCTGGCCAGATCTGCTGTCCCAGAGCCATGGCAGTCTTCTGCACCCAAACCTGGCGGCATTGCACTTGACAGCTGAATGTGGACGAATGGGAATGCTCGGCCTGGGTTGGGTAGCAGAAAACCGTCCATCAGAGCGACTGACTTGGCCAAGTGGAAAAGGTTCACGTGCTGGGCCTTGGAATGACATGCCTGGGCTGAGAAGGCCTCACTGCAGGAGACCCTGGATTATTTGCTGCACCTCAAACTCCAAGGTTTGTCTCTGTCATTGATCAAGGTCCTACTGGCCGCTATCTTGGCTCTCCACGCTCCATTCCAAAGCAGGTTGATCTTTGCTCACGACATGACGGGCCAGTTTTTGAAAGGTCTGGAGCGTCTCTACCTGCATGTCTGGGATCCTGTCCCTCCCTGGGACATCTCGTGTTGTCAAGGTTCCTGGGGTCTCCTGGCTTCCTGCTCTCTCCTGCTTCTTTCTCGGATGGTTTTGTTCCTGGTTGCAATAACATCAGCCTGTATGGTGTTCGAGATCAGGAGGCTTACTTCAGAACCGCCCTACAAGGTCTCCTACAAGGATAAGGTGCAGCTGCAGCTGCACCCAGTGTTTCTGCCCAAGGTTGTTTCCTAGTTTCATACTGGCCAGGACATACACTTACCTGTCTTCTTTCCAAAGCCTCATACATCAGAGG